TTGAGAACTAACAGTGCAATAAACTATTCACAAAGAAACTTTTGAGTCAAGAAAGGTTTTCAGTACCTCAGTGTTTCCATGATGGTGGAAACAGGATATGACTGTTTATTATGTTGGCTTGCAATATATTCTAATCTGCAGCACAAACAATAACGGGAAGGTGTTGGTTTTTTGAAGGGTGTTACTGCTGTCTAATTTAGCAAAATGTTTAAATTTAGATCAACAAATTAATACCAAAAAAATACAGATCTGCTAATGAAAGTATTAAATATTTCAGTGCTTTTTTTTCCTCCGATTTTTAGGTTGTCCCTCGATTTAATGAGAAGGGTGAGGTGTTTAAGGCACAAATAATGAACGTGAGCTGGTCAGCTGATCACCGCATCATTGACGGAGCGACCATGGCCCGCTTCTCTAACCTGTGGAAATCCTACGTGGAGAACCCGGCTTCAATGCTGCTGGACCTTAAATAAAGGAAACCCTGGCTAGAACATGCCTTTAAACTTTGTGGATTAGACGGAATAGTTATGAAAGCTGTCTCTGCTAAGATGTGCCCTTGGCTACGTGCATTATGTAATAATGTTATGTGGTTAAAAGTTCTCAGCAGCTGATATCAGTCTATCAATTAGTTGTAACTTCTTTTAATTAGTAGTGCTGTAATTTCTTCTACAGCAGACTGTCAAACTGAATAGGTCACGGCTTCTGAACATGGTGGTGGAATGTCTTTATTGTGCCTTTTATAACAATTGTCAAGCTGGTGGGACTGAGTGACACTGCTCTACACCTGCAGTGTTTATAATCTGATTAACCTGTTTTGAAGGGGAATACTCATAGTTCTTCCGTGTTGGACACGTACATTTATTTTAATGAATAATAATATCCAAATTCCCCAAGGGAGTTATGCAAAAATCATATACAAATAAAATGCCTTTAATGCTTCTACTGTAAGAGGGCTTTTTGTTGTTTAACTGAGTAAACCTCTTAAGTCTTTTGCTAGTCCACTTTTTCCTGGCAATTACTTGCACAGATACTCTTTATCAAACTATAAATGAAGAGGCCATATTTATTCAAATGCTTACTGATAACACTTATTCATAACTATCAGGGCCTTAATACTCTCTAGAATATCCTGTATTTTTTTTCAGCTGGAAGTAGCTTCAGTCCTTAATGCTTCCCAGTTATTTTTGTTTCTTATAGAAAGTATGTGTCTGTTAAAACCAAGCAAGGAGGAAAGAAAGAGAAAACAAAGGAAAAAAAGAAGGATCTTGTTTTGTTATTCTGACACATTAGGTAAGACTGACAGCTGACCGTGTTCCAGAAGCTTGCACTGTGTTATCGACCTTCAGATACTAGCATTTACCAGATTGATCCGATTCAACAAAGCATGGACATTAAGAAATACTATGTAAGATAAGAACTTCCTAAACTCAGATACAAGGCACATAATGAATAGTTTCAAGTTAACACCTGCAGTACAGAAAACAGTTACATGGCTTTAAGGTGAACTAAACAGATGAGGATGGCACTGGTGATTTAAGGGGAGATAGGAAAAAACCCACTGGATATAAATACCTTTTAGAAACCTAAATTGCAATCAGACACAAGAAAAGACAGTTATATGGCCTTAAAAATGAATTTGTGACGCACAAAATGGACATTTTCTCCTTTCTTTAGATATATCAAAACCAGGAGCATTCTGGAAAAGTGTAGACCAAAGTTGTCTATTGCATTTAGCTGTGAAAATGTGAGACAGGCTATCAGAGGAAGAATCCCTGCTATCCTTGATGCTGAGAGTGAGCAAGAGAAAAGCTGGTAATGTAGGAGGGGGAGCATGGAGCATCCGTGTAAGGTGCTATTTATATTTCTATTGTGGTATAAGGGTCTTTTATATAAAGGTCGTTTCTTGCAAAGTTTGACTAATATATCATGCTTGTCACCTAATTCATTTTTATCAGATTTATTTATTCCTAATAAAAAAAAAATAAAGCCACAAAGAATTGTAATATTGTTTTTATTTGTGAATTTTATGCAGGCTATCCTGTACAGGTGACTAAAACTATTTCTTCTGCTCTTGAACATGCTGTACTCAAGGCTACCAAAAGAGCACAGCCTAATGGCTCCTTGCCTGCAAATATATTGTTGTGGTAAGGGGCTCAGTCTGAACAGTATATTTTTTTAATCTGATGACCACTGAGAAAATAAACAGAGGAAACATAAGTAGATGAAAGAAAGCAATAAAGTGATTTAGAAATATTTAAGATAAAATAATTTTACTTGCACAAGGAGCCTGAAATTTGTCTCTCAAGACTCCAATAAATGGGAGGGCTGTTGAGTTTCTTTCCCCTAATTATCTGTCTTTAAGGAGGAGGAGGAAATGAGGTTAGGTTTTTAGTTATGATGGCTTAGACCGAGAGATTGAATCAATACCAAAACTGAAAGAAGAAATACCTATAACAAAGAAACTTTTGGATAATTTTTGCTTTTGCATAATGTTGAGGGTTTTTTTAAAAAAGTATAGAAGACTGAAAGGCTTGAAAGCTAAAGTGTCTTTCAAATAGGTATTGGTGTTCAGGTATTTAGGTGGTGGTGGACTGAAGAGCATGGTTTTGGTTGTTTTTGATTGTAAAGTTCTGTGTGGTAGGTTTATAACCAAACTCACAATATTTTAAAAAGTTTATCTTCCCATTTTATACTCCAGTGCACTTGATTAGAATTATCCAGTTTTATGGCTTCTGCCTCAAATAGTGACCTGTGATTATTGTTGTTTCTCTCTTTCCATTTGATTGAAGAAAAAGATTCTGACAGAGTTGTTCTCCTTTTATCTTCTCCAAGGACTATTTGAAGAAATAGAATGTTAAAAATGTTTCATGATTGGAAGCATGAAAAGGGGTGAGTAACAACCCCTCTGTACATCTTGATAAAGATTACTTTTCTGTCTGGACTTTGATAATAGGCACTAAAATTCTTCAACAAGAGAATTTTTCAGCATGTGCAGAAGTAATGAGTAAAATACTTAGTGATGTAATATTTTTCTAGTCTATTCAGTCTGTGTTGCTGTTTATTAGCACTTTAAAACTCAGTTATCTTGGAGAGAAACATTATTATAGTAAGCAAGTAGTTGTCATTTTCACTTCAAAACTAGCCTTTTTTAATCTTATTTTATATTCAGTATGAGCTCATTGTAGAGAATAACAATTACTCCTTTGTTCTTCTTTTTCATAATTTGTAACTTTTGTAAGCAGGAGTCCTGGAGTTCAGGGGTGCCCAGTCATGCTCAGCAAACTGGGAAGGCTTTACAGTGGTAAATGCTTGGGAGAGGTTGCAGAAGTGCCTCATGTGATGCCTTCTATTCTCAGCATAGGTTAAAATTAGAACTAGACTGACATTGGAGTGTGAGAGTTCTAAATGGTTTTGGTAATACAGACAAGATTTGTAATATATCTCTGCTCTTGTCCAGAAAGCAATGAGTCACAGAAAATCCTTGAAAACACCAAATAATTGAGGTAAGTTGTTGTTAAATTCTTTCTGATGCCTGGGGGTGATGTTGTAAGGAGATCTGGTTACTTGGGAGTAAATTTGCAGTTGTTTTAGACCTGCGGTTGGGAATTCACTCCTGAAGTGTTGGCTGTGATGGCATGATTATTGTGGGGTTTATTTTCTTGACAAATAATAAGATCTAAGAACAAGAAGCTTTTGATGGTAGTCCTGTTATATAATAAAATCATTCTGAAAATAAAGTCATATATATTTAGTCCCTTTCATATTTCATGGTTCTGAAGCAGCACTTATTGAATAATACGCTTTCCACAGCAAAAGGGAGTTGCCCAGAGTAAGCTTTACTAAAAACAAGTATTGTTTTGACTGTGAAGTACGATACTGGGTAAGTAGTAAATATTAACAAATATCCCTTTTCTGCACAGTTTATATAAAAGGATTTCTAGTTTTCCACCTAAAAGGGCTTGTAGTTAAAAAAAAAAAATCTCTAAACAAGAAGTTATAAATTAGTTCAATCACTTGATCTCAGTAGAAATTTAATCCTGAAAAAATCAGGCAATTTAAATTGTAACCACTAACTGGAGCAAAAGACCTCATGCATATATAGCATTACTGTTGCATACTGGGATGAGGACTGGGAAGGGTAATTACTCTGAGGACTGAGAGAGAAGTTAGTCCTTCAAACTAGCAAATGTGCTCACAATTATGTGGGGGAGGGAAAGAGGATACAGTCCTCTCTTCACAGGAAAAAATTCAATGCTTTTGGAACCCACATGCCAGACTGCACTGTGCCACACTGTGGTTGCCATTTGTGTCACTTGTCAAATCCTGACATTTTTCCTTAACAGAGAACAATTAAGAATCCTAAATATTAATGTATTGGACCAGATTCTTATTTACTCAAGCATTATAATTTGATTTGTATGTTGTTTTTACAACAGGAAGCAATCTTGATATTTTACATTTTATTTGTCTACACATTTTTAATTAAATTATTTCAGTATAATCATGCTTTACAAATAAGTATGTTAACAAAAGACATAGTAAGCAAATAAAATGATTGACAGTTTGAACACAAAAATGTTTACTAAGCAGTTGTAGCTTGTCCAGGTCACACAAAATTATAATGGAATAAATATAGTAGAAAAGATTGGTTCTAAAAGACAAACCCTTTCCCCAAGTGACTACAGTAATGGCAATAAGAATGAGTTTTAGAGTGATGCACTGATTAAGATGACTGAGTATCCTACTTTGCTGCTTTTCAGAAAACTATGTCTTAATTATCTCCCTAAGAGATAGATGACTTCAAAACTTTCAACTGAATTTAATTTTAAATGTGGATCCTGACACTCAGCAGGGCTACAGGAAGATTCAAACAAATCAGAAAAATTTAAAAGCCTTTTCTTAAAGCTGACACATTACTAACTATAAAATGCATTATAATGAGTTAAATTATGAAGAAAATTAATGCAAATAAAGTCTACTAATTTATTTCCAGGAACAGTTCAGTTTTTGTAAAGTGCAAAACTCCTTAAGTTACAAGTGCTTTTATCAGGTAGCTGCCAGGATGCAGCTATCAGAATTTAACTGCCTTAAATTGCAGGCAACACTTAGTTTCTTCCTGGGATGGGAATGAATGCTCAAATCTGCATTAATAATGACGGTGAGAACTCAGCCTACCATTGGAAGGAGCCGAGAGAAGCTGAATAAGAATACAGACACTGCAAGAATACCGTTTCTTACTACAAGAAAATTTCGCTAGGTGCTATTATTTTTGTAAAGAGAAAGCAGATGGTAAAATACTGTTTATTCTATACATTAACTGCATGTAGTAACACAGTGGAGTGGGTATTGCAGGGCTTTAGTTCTGACATCACTGTCCCCATGTGGTGACTGGTCCATGGGCTGATGCGTTCTCTCAGATTCCTGCGGCTGCGTCTGAACATGTGAAGGACCATGGCTGAAACTGCAGTTTGCCTTGGCACGTTCACTGCTGTGAAGACACTCTGGGAAGTGAGAATACACAAGATAAATGAAGAATTACAGAAAGAAAAGGAATTCAGGCAGAGGTCTGCGGGAAGGTAGGTAAATTTAGATCTTTAAGTATGTGAAAAACTGGACTATGTGTTGCATTTCAGAAGACTGTAATTAATCTTTTCAAACTCATCCAGAGTCTAATTCTTTTCCTGTTACTCCAGCAGAATTCCCAGTGGTTAGAATCTAGCAATATGGTCTGGTCAAACCAAGAACTCTGTCTGTGATAAAAATATTAATATATAGACTAAATCCCCTGAAGTCAGATACTAAAATAACTGTGTGGATACTCTAACCCCTGGAGATTTGTTACGTTTTCTTCTCCCCAGAGGCATTAATGGGGTCACTTAGTTTTCTGTCTGGAGAGCAATTTAAATTTAAAAAATTTAGCATTCTGTCTTTAGACCTCTTCCTGATTCAGCACATGTCCGAAATGGAATAACAAATTCAAAAGCTACTAATGGAAAATACAAGCAGAAAGAAAGAGAATTAGCCTAATTGTCATAGTTCTTGTTGAAGTCCTCTTTGGAAATCAAGCTAAAAGAATCTCTTGTGATTGACCTTGTTTTGTTGAACTTACATTCGGTGTAATGGCAGGCTTTCCTTTTAGGAGACTGCCTCAAAATTAAAGCTTTGGAACTTAGTTCCACATGACTTTATATTCTGTTGCCCTGCTGCAACATGTTGAAAGTGAATTAAGTTATGTCCTCCTTCTGAATGTAAATTTGAAGAACTGTCAAGTAGAATTCCTATATATAGAATTACCTCAACTGAACATTAATTGCTTGTCTTCCCTCAAATTGATAGTATATTTAGCATCCAGGTATAATTAACATTTGACATCCAAAAAGGCTATTGTCTTTTTCCAGAAAATAGATAGGATAGTAATTATGGTCTGTATTCACTGTTTGCACAACTGACAGGTCTTTCCCTTGTAGGCTACTGCTTGTCTGGGAGGAGAGAGCTGCTTTGGCAAAGCTCAAAGAAAGAGTTATCAATGAAGGTGGGAGAGCAATTTTAAGGATAGAGGAAGAAGAATGGAAGGTAGGTAGTGTTGCATGTTGTTGGGTTGAATGACTGATGCATTAGAAAACTACTATTTACAACTTTACACTTATGGAGTTGTACCATTTTTGTTAAGTACTCACTGTGTGCTTTGCTAATAGTGAAGTGGGACATGTTGTGAGTGTAAAAGCAAGTTGGTTTTTTTTTTATCATGAATATTAAGCATTACTCTTAGGAAAAAATATAGCCTAAAAGGCTTTTCTGCATCTGAAATTATTTGCATTCCAAATTACAAGTTTCATTTGTAATGTTCCTCATTTAACATTAACACACCAGAACTACTGAAGTGTATCAAAGTGAAAACCATCTGTTGTTTAGGTGCCTGAAAATATTCTTTACCACTAATTATTTTCTAAGAGTGAAAATAAGCCAGTACATTCCCAGAACACTATTATTGTTGTTTCTCGTGCATGGGGGGTAAGCCACTAACTGCTTATAATGGCAGAGTGGAAGCTCACAGACCTCTGAGCCACAGAGAGATGCAGATAGCAGTTCCTGTGAAGTGGTGAGAATTAGACCGTGCTGAGGCAGTGAGAGAGCCAGACCAGCAATAGCCTGGTGGTCCATAGGCCAGTGTTCCTTGTTTGGGACTCCTTGCATACATTGTAGTTCTTCTGTCCCTCAGCTCTTTTACTCTCAGCTGCTCACTGTTTTTCTTAATAGACTATGAAACAGAATTTAAATCTCCCTCTGTGTGCAGAAATCTATTTAGAGCAGTTTCATCTTCAGTTATATTGGCTTTGTTTAAAGAAAAATAAAGAAACCAACCAACCAAAGCCAGGCTCAGACTTGTCAAGCAATGACAGTAGTGCGGGTGTGTAAATACTGGGAGCAAAAAGGGGGCAGGCTAAATCTGTGATCACAATGACAGCCCACAGTGGTGTTCATTTTGGGATCATGGAATATCTTGAGTTGGAAGGGGCCACAAGGATCATAGATTCCAGCTCCTGGCCCTGCACAGGACAGCCCAAGAATCCCACCATGTGTTGTCTGAACTCTCCTTGAACTCTGTCAGGCTTGGTGCTGTAACCACTTCCCTGGAGAGCCTGTTCCAGTGCCCAACCACCCTCTTGAAGGAAGAACCTTTTCCTAATGTATTGATATAAACCCTTATAAAATATAGACCTTTTCCTAATATATATGATATTGAAATTGTATCAGTTATGCTTCCTACTTTTAGCATGTTTTAGAAATCAATTTCAAGGATTCATTTTGTAACCTGCATATTACAGTATAGCTTAAGAAGAATGAAAGACTGTGTTTCAAATCAGATTTCTACCTCAGCCTGTATTCTTCTTGTATACTAAGCTGAATTTCTTCTGGTTCATATTTCTTCTCTTAGACACTACCTTCATGCTTATTGAAACTAGCCCATCTCCAGGAATGGCAGCTCCATAGAACTAGTCTGCAGAAAATCCCTCAATTTATTGGAAGATTTCAGAGTCTTGTTGTTCTGGATCTATCCCGGAACTCAATTGAAAGTGTACCTAAAGAAATTGGTGAGCTGTGCTTTCTTTTAAGCTGCTTTTCCAAGAAAATTGGACAAATGTGCCATTTTTGTGCCCTTTGCCTAAGAATCCTGTTGGTTAGTTAGAAAACAGATGATTTAAATCTGAGACTGAGATAGAGATCTCTAAACCACAGATTACTTACAAATTTAAAAAATGACTGGATGGAAGAGACGTATCTTTATGAAAGCTTCCCATGGAAAAAAAAAGTCTGCAAGCACCGCAGGGACTAGACATCAGAATGCAGCTAGAAAAGTGATATTGAAAAGCAGGCTTCATGTTCTGAGTCCACAGCATGAGTAGCCTATTCATAATATTTTATTTTGGGGGTTTTAGAATGCAGCTGTGTACTAAAGAGTCCTGAAGTCCTACCATTTGCATTTCAGTGATTTTTTTTTTTTAAATTTGTGAGAACAACAGTTACAGGATAAGACAAAACAACTAATATTGTACTTCAAATAGAATGAACGAGAGCATTCCTTATGTCTCATTTGTGCTCTCAGGCCAGCTGACCAGCCTCCAGGAGCTGCTTCTCAGCTACAACAGAATCAAGTCGGTTCCGAAGGAAATAAGTAACTGTGTCAGTCTGGAAAGATTAGAACTGGCTGTCAACAGGAGTATCTGTGACCTTCCTCCTCAGGTTTGGACAGACTGTTTTCTTTTGGTTTATTGCATAATTTTTTGAAATTATCCAAACCCAATTATCATTAAAGGTTGCACTTCATGTTTTCAGATTTGTTTTGATGCTCTGATTTCACAACTAATCCACAGAAACGCTGATGTGAACAGCATTTCTATGACTAGTCAAACTGAAGCCTCATGAGAAAGGCATACCCGAGTAGCTGAAGGAGCCAGTCTTTATTTTGTCCAGATAAATGGCTTGGCAGTGCATATAGGGCAGTGATACACTTCATGTCAGTCTGCTTAGGCTGAATGTCTTCACTGATTTACCCCACTGAGAATCTGATGCCTTAGCAGAGAGAAGTTCTCTTTTATGGTTGAGAGCAGAAATTCATGCCATATGCCAGGACACAGCTGTAAGCATCTTGACCAGAACAACTAGCTCTGAAAACAGTTTGTGTGATTTACACAACTGCCTATGTGTGGAGTTGAACAATTGTTGTTCTCAAATATTGAAAGCAATTATGAGGGAATAAAAGCCACTGCTCACCTGCTACTGAGCTTTAATTTGAACTGACCTACATGTGAGAGAAACCTGCATCTCTAACTATTAGTCTCTTAGATAAAGATGAAAGGTATGTAACCATACACACTTGTTTTAATTTAGTTAAAAACACATTAGGGGCAATGGTTGACAGCAATCAGTGCCTTGCAAAATTGAGTGAATCCAGATAGTGATACCCAACATCAGATCTTCAAATGGAAATAGGCACTATCAACCAAAATCCAGGATTTACAAAATCTACATGGATACAGGTTACATGGTGTAATGTAAAGTGATGGCTTTTAAGTTAACAGCTCATAGCAAATTCATAGTTCTGTCCTGTCGAGACCATGGTGATGTGATTGCTGTGAAACTTTGGTTGTATGTACTTGAGTGGCATTCAGTGTTTAGACAGCTGGAGCAGATCTGCTATAAATTATCTTTGTATCCCTTGAACATTGTAACAGCGCCTGAAGGCAGGATTCACCAAAGGACTCAGGTGCTACAATACTGAATGACACTATATTGCATTTTTAGAATGTTAGTAGACTTCACAGCATGGAACGTGTGAAGGTCCACTCTAAAATACAGTCCATGCAATTTGATGCATGAAAATCTAAATATCTGACTAATGAAAAATGTCATATTGCAAAGAGTATGACATATTAAGGACAGTGCTGTCTTTAAAATTCTCTTTCTCCATGAGGCTTATTGCACACATGCATTGTAGTCATGACTTTCAGCCTCTCAGCACTTCAGGCACTTGCTACTGCTGAGGTAAAGTTCTTCTGCCCGACCAGTTTCAAACCTACCTACCTTCCAGGTGAGAACTGTAACTGTTAGATAATACCAGAGCTCATGTAGCTCAGAAACCATTCTGTGTTAACTAGCTCCAAAAAGTGTTGTGATGTTTGTTAACATTGTTAGAGCACTGCTGTAATGCTGCAACAGCTACACAGACTTGCATTAAATCTTTGCTTCTTTTCAGCTCAGTGATTTAAAGAAGCTTTCACACATAGATTTGTGCATGAATCAGTTTACTACCATCCCTTCAGCTCTTCTCAACATGCCACATCTAGAATGGTTAGATATGGGGGGAAATAAACTCCAGGAGCTTCCTGATACAATTGACAGGTAAATAAAACTTAAAGCTCATCTTAGTCTCAATTCCATTGCATTGAGATTCTAACTATTAAATGCTACTTCAGAAGATAATTTTTATGTTAACTTCACTGCAAACTCAAGATTTTGTCAGCCCTGAAGTGATGTTTTGGCTGAGCTGGAATAATCAGTTCAATTAACAATATAAGGTTAAATATTTATTGCCAATGACATTTTCAAACAGAGATTAGGTGATTATCTTGGATAGGGGTTTCCTTAGAGACTTGTTGCATTATAAGAGTCCTTTATGTGGCTGAAAAAGTATTTATACTAATGATTGATGAGATTAATTTTCTAAATCTTGATTGAGTGCACAAATACCTGTTTTTCAGAATGGAAAATCTCCACACTTTATGGCTCCAAAGGAATGAGATAAACTCTTTGCCAGAAACCATTTGTAATCTGAAAAATCTTAGTACTCTTGTTCTTAGCAACAACAAACTTAAGGATATTCCAGCCAGTATGAAGGATATGACAAATCTGAGGTAAGTAAAAGCAACAGAAATATAAATAGAAGTACTAGAAGATAAGTTTTAAAGCCTTCTTTGAGTTGTATAGCATAGAATGATACTAAGGAAGAGGAAAAGAAAAGGCATGATCACAGTGGTACAGATGGACACAATACCATATAAATCAGCATAGTTGCACAGATTCACAGCAGTTGAGGATCTGGTCAAACAACTTTTGTGTAGTGAAACCTATATAAAGAAGTAAACAATCATAGCTACAGTTCCAAATGAAAAAATAGGCCATAATACATTTTCTCATTTCCATAATGTCCTCATGCCCTCCCTATAATTGGTCTTTTATATCACTCTCTAAAGCCAAAAGCTTGGAGAAAAATATGTAACAGGCATAAAAATGGCAAAAAGTAGAACTTTGCCACTGAAAAAGTGTTTTCTTAGCTTACTTAATACTATTGATAGAGGGGTGGGTTTAGTATAATAAAAGGCTTATTTCGTTTTGCTCAAACTACTGATTAAGAAATCTTAACTCAGTTTCAAAAGAATTGTTTTCTCTGGACAAAACTGATTGCAAGAGTAACCTTTTCTGGTAAATTGTCAGATTTGTCAACTTCAGAGACAATCCACTGGAGCTAGAGGTAACACTCCCTCCGTGTGAGGATACAGAAGAGGAGGAGCAACGGGAAATGTTTGGCATTGACTTCATGCACATGTATATCCAGGAGTCCCTCAAGAACACAGGTATGACTCTTTTATTAATTCTGATCTCTGGAATACAGTGAAAAAGGGAAGGACAAACTGGATAAATAAAATCTAGGATATGTACACAAATGAAATATGAATAGTCTTCTTAATAAATGAATAACATTTTCCAAAAAAATCTGTAAACCAATTTTTACTGAGGGCAGGGGGCACTTTTATCAGGAGTTGGCACAGTAGGTCTTCACCTAAACAGCATATATTCTGGTAGGAACAGACAGGAACCATGGAACATTGGAATAAAAGTGCTTGAGTTACCTACAGCTGGGATAAGTAGAAGCTGTCTTTTGTATTTGTAATTTAATCAGTTTACATAGTGTGGGTCTTACAGCACCATTTATCTCAGGAAGCTCAACTTTTCCTATTTTTGGATGTTGTCCAGATGGTACTACCAAAGAAGGAATAAGGAAGAGATGCTTATGTTCCCAACATACATCTTCTAGCAATGAAGTATCAACACCTGATAAACAGATGTTTCTCACAACTTGCTTTCCCTGACACAATCAGTCACCTAAACAAAACAGCCTCACAGTTTATTCCCATTTCAAAAACACTATGACAAAAACTTGCTGTTCGTAGCCTCAAAGGTAACAGTTTAAATGCTGCAGTAGGAAGCCAAAATAAACACTTCTGAACAGATGTACAGGTGGCAGCTGCTTCTTGCAGAGAGCACTTCATTGCAGATATAAAATGTTCTCTCTGATCTTCATTCTGTATTTTGTGAAGGCTTAAAAAATTAATGAAGTTCTCTTGATTTAGAACACTAGGCTAGCTTTTTTCTTATCAATATTTCATGAATGAATAATCAAATTAGCAAAAATACATCAAGAAGACAGTTTATGAGTTAGTTTTCTTCCTTAATAGATTCCCCTAGCAGCACAGGCTGATGAAAGAACCTTGGTCTACTTAAATAATTTAAGAGGAAATACAGAGCTATCCTGAACTTTAAAGTGAAAATAAAGTATGTTATTTCCTGTCTTATTTTCACCTGTCTTTCAGGAAATCTGGAAAGTTGTACTTCTGATCCTCCTGCTATCATAAATCCTAATGAATAGAGAATGTAACTGAGAATGGAAGACAATACCAAGTATACTTCTTCCCAGCAAAGAGGCCTACAACAGGTGTCAAATATTCTTAGAGATTTTATTTTTCCACTGATGGGAACTGGTTTGCATATGTGTAATTCCCAGTGAAACTGGGAAATACAAGACCTTTTCCTGGGTACAGGAAAGACTAAACAGGTTTTTTTGTAAAGACTGAATTAGCTTTTTAAAAAATTCCAGATAAGTTTTTTAGGGTTTTTTTTCACCTAACCAGTCCAAATCTATCTCCTGTCGTGTAGTTGGCTCTGTTATCAAAGATGGACTTGGGACAGCTGTCAACAGGACATTCTCCAGGGACACAGCAGACTCTGTATAATACTGTAGTGCAGCCTTGTATCCTTGTTGTTGTAAATATTCAATCCGTCCGTGATCAATCAGCCGTTTACAGAGGCACCCTATCTCCTTCCGCTCTTCAACAGTAAGTATCCTGGTGTCATAAAAGGGAGAAAAAGAATGAACAACTTCTGTCAGAGGAATAGTTTTGTTAGTTAACATTAGTAGTGAAGCTTAGAGAAACTACTGAAATCACTGTAAGTTCATTTCAGTAAGGCAACCGTGACTGTTGATATATTTTGCAATGTGCATCCATAAAAACTGTATTTTTAAAGTCAAGTATTTCTGTAAGTTTAGTAATTAAAATGTTTCTGCAAAATGAGTCCCTTTGAGGACCCAAAACAATTTAATGTGCCACTATACATAATTTTGCTTTTCTGCTGGAGCCCATTTGCTAGAAAAAAAAAATTACATACCCTTGCCATGTATCAGAGCCACTCTCTGCTGTGCTGAATGTTTGCTCATGTTCTTCTGTGTCATTAGTTTGGTCTTCACTTTCTTCACTTGTAGAGGCTTTGCTTGTGGTTTCTCGCATGCCACAAGTGGCCCAACTACTCATTCTCTGGAAATAATGGAATTCTACTGGTCCCAGTCCTACTGATTTAAAGAACTGTCTGCCTACATAATGTGTCCAGTCACACTTGTGGTGGCAACACAGAGCAATGACAATTCCAGCTACAGGCTTATGGTCTTGTGTGTTGCTGTCACTCTCAGCAGCAGTGTCAGGAGCCACCTCTGTCATAGCAGTCCTACAGCGTTTTGCTGCAGGCTCTTCATTTTCTCCACCACAGCAAGCTGAGTAACTTTCAACCAAGCATCTCAGAGCAAGATCTGGGAATGAACAGATACCCCCCCCCCCAAAAAAAAATATTCATAAACACCTGCCATTATTTATACAGGTTCTATCATGATTGGGAATGTACTTCCCAGAAAGAAAAATAAAATCAGACATCACAAACTAAGCCGAAAAACAATTTTAATGATAACTAAAAATTATATGTATGCTTTGAAAACATGAAAACTCTAAATGCTAAATTAATATTATGAGACCTCTAGAGCTCCTCAGGGCTTATCCTCTGGAATATTTGTTCTACAGAAGTGAATTTGAAATACTTGGGTAATATTGGCATATTGTAGGAGAATCTCCTCCCTGTAAAACATGCAACTATTTGCTCCAGAGGTTTGATATCTAGGACACAATCTATTTAATATGCACATGTACTTCTTAAATGCTTAACTGTGTCATCTTTGTCACAGTGCTTAGAAAGGGGTTATATTTGAGATATCTCTCTACAGTAAGCATATAACATTAGAAAAAGTATTAGTTTAAAATTATCATGACAGAAACACATTCTTATTTGTTTGCATGGGATATATATTCAGACAGCCAACACAAATTTAGGAAGACAAATATTTTAGCACAGAGGCAACTGTGCTAAAAAAAGTACTCCCAACAGAGTACAAATACATGACCCATGCCACCACACAGTGTCCTTTGTTCTAATCTATAGAGCTCAAGAAAGGCTTTACTTCTGCCTAAACTATCCTTACACCTATTATCCTTTTCCACTGGAGTCAATAGGTAATTAGAATATAATTGCTATATTCACCAACAAAGGGTTAGAGGGCAAGAAAAGCTTAAAAGGATAGGCTGGAAGATCAGTCCATTCAGAGTGTAAGATTTAGCATCCTAACTTTCTGCAGTTCACACATCTGTAATTCATACCTGTTGCAGCACCACACAAATGCTTCCCAATTCCTACCACTGGTAGTTTTTTCTTCTCCAAAATAGGTACCTTACCTGGAGGGGGAAAAACAAACAACAAACAAAACCCCCATGCAATCCCCAATAACCCCAGCACCTGTATTATTACAGTTGGGGCGATATTTTTTCTGATGAAAGGTGTTCCCACAAATTCTATAGCATTGATGGTGCATACTTGTACCTTTATCAAAAAATGCAATCATGCAAGGTCTAAAAAATCTTCAAAATGTACTTGTTTTGGTATTTCTCACCTATAATGATGTCCTACAAGTGTACAGAGTAGAAAACTTTAAATCTCCATTTAAAATATGTGTGTATATGTACACATGCCTGTGTGTATATATGTGTATACACACAGCATCAACATATCCAAGCAACCACTGAGAATAATCTTCAAAACCAAGACCATTTAAGCATTCTACATACAAACTGACTTGAACCCCAGTATTCAAAATTTAAGAATAAGCTTCTATTTCAGAGTGACACAAGCCAAGAAGGAACTTACTTAAACATAAGTGCTGAATATCAACTTGAAGCCTCTCAAATATAGAATCTCTTCTTTGATGTTTTCCATCCACCTGTTTAAACAGAACAAGATTATTAAGTAGGGATGGCCACTAATAATTATAACATCGGTCTGGCATTAATGCCAGACGTTTTTCCTGTCAAGTCAACATCTGCGAATTTCCAATATTGAACACCAGGATTTTTTCCTAATAACTTTGCTATTGGTGAAGTATGGAATGTAGAACGCTTGAAATTTAAATTTATTGAATTTAAAAATCGATTACTAACAGCTTCAATGGCAAGAGCTTGAAAATCATACTCTGCTAACGTGACAATCCTCCTACCTTGAATCTTGTGGTTGCTCTTTCCACAAGCAAAAACTGCACATTTTCAACATTCTGTAAGGCAACATCAACCCAATGAGACAGCTTTCCTCGCCCAGCTCCAAACTCAACAAAACATCTTCCTGGACCAAGTAAATGTAGTTTTTCCATGTTACCTAAAATAGAAGCCTACAAACATAAAAAGATTATTTGTGAACTAAGCAAATATATACAGAGTGTACTGTGATGTCTTATCAAAAATGATTACTTAGCATTATACACACAGAGTGGCTCGAATTTACAGCAGCACAATTTCTCTCCAAACCCATCTGCAGCTATTAGTAAATCAGTGAGTGTACCTGTTGCTTCAAGTGTTTGAAAGCAGATTCCCCATTCTTTGGGTCATTTAAGGCTTCTTGTAAAGCCTGGTGGGACAGTATTTCTTCCTTAAGATGAAGTTCCAAGCCTGCATGGAAATGCAAAACTTTTAGGTATCGCTTTCCAGTTTCCAAGAGTTCCAGTTTTCAGGAGTTCCAGGTTTGGAACACACGTTACACTAGTGACATGAACTCAATCTGTAGCACTAGAAAACAGTCTGTATAAAACAGGAGAATAAATCTCTCATCACATGTTTATATTAGAGCTGTATCTGTAGTAATATTTGAGTGGGAAACAAAAACCGAAAGGATTGGTGTTTATCATTCAATCTAGTTTATTTTTCATAGTAACACTGAGCTATTGGAGTCTGCCTGATAATTACTTCATATGTGTTTAATAGCACATATTTTTACAGTCTCATATTTTTACAGGTATCTAACAATGGAAATAACAATGAAATATTTAATCAATTCAATTTAAAACATCTTAATTTTAGTATTAAGTAAGCTCACCATTACTTGCTTTTTTCAACTTGACAATTAAGTTCTGCAGCTCTTCACTGGATAGAGAAGATAAAGCGACCTTTTTAGGGAAAAAAAATGCCACCTATAAATACAAGATCTTTTAAATTTTCTAGTGCTTTACAGTCATATGATAAATTGCAACATGTTATGCAAGGACTGAACTTTAAAACAAATAATTGTACTCACTTGCTTTTCTGGTATTTCCGCCACATCTTTTAAACCTGCATTAATATCTTGAACAAAGTAGACCTTTAAAAAATCAAAAGAAAATAAATCTGATTCTGTTAATTACCAGGAAGCAAATGACTACATTCTTCAGCATTTTTATCATAAGATACGTAGCAATAGGTATCCACTGCAAAGTAAGATTTGCCAAGTAATTTCTCTTCCTATAGTCTGATCCTGAATCCCTGGCACAAATAAGTGTTCTGACACATTTTTACAAGATTGAACATGTTCTCAAGATTTAAGCAGTCAGTGCTTACTAGACTGATTCCAAAGACCACTTCAAGGTTTCCCAGGTAATAGTGAAGGTGCAATACTAATAAGGCAGAAAGACAGGCAATAAAGGAGTCCTCATCTATTTTCTGGGAACAGCTTTTAAACACGTGTTCTGTTCCTTCCCTTAGTACTGGCTGCGAGTGTCTGCCCAGATTTCTGTGACTCACTGCTGGCCTGCAGGAACCAGGCAGTTGGCTGAAAGCACCCAGAGCCTCCCTGATAGCTCTGCTTTCCGAGGACAACCTCTCACCCAGCCTCCAAAATGAGTGGCAATGCGAGAGGCTATTCTTGGGGTATGTTTTTGAAAAAAATTAATTCAGCCTTTTTTTTTTTTTTTTTTTGGTAACTAAGAGAACTGAAAAGTTGTACCAAACCACAGTGTGAAGGGACACAGAACAGGAGGAGATTAGAATGTGAATTCCATTTCAGGAAGTACTTATTCAGCTTCCATGTTGTCCTTAGTGCAGTGCTTGCTAGAAGTGCTGTCCAGCTCACAGCTGCTGTCAGCACAACAAATTCTCTGCAGAGATGTAATGTTTAAGGTCTTAAATCTGAAAGGAAGAGCTGATTTTATGCTGCACTTACGGGCTTTGGCTTCTCTCTTGAATTACATTTTTTTAAATGCTTTTGTAGTTGGTCTTCATATACAGTGCTAAAATCAAAATGGAAAGAAAAGTAAGTAATAGCATTTGTCGTGTGAACTCTGACAAAGAATAGGGAAAGCATTTACATGTACTCACTGTTTTGGATCAAGAGGGCAGGGAATTCTTTTTCTGTCATTTTGTTCCTAGTTAGAAAAGTTTTAGACAACAGTTCAGCATGCATTCAGTGCCCGTTTCAAAAACGCTGTCAGTTTCATAAAACATCTGTTCAGAGGTAGGTGGGTTAACCGGAATGGAGAAACTGAGAGAACGATTTAATAATTAACTGGACCCTAAAATAATAAACATATAACGCAAGGGCAGCGTTGCTGCTGGGCTGCCCCGAGTGCCTTGGCACACGAGGGCTCGGAGGCGCTGCCAGTCCCACCCGTGCTGACGGGCCAGGGCCCCGCGGGATCGCCGGGGCTCCCCGAGCCCGCCCGCCCCCCCGGCCGGAGAAGGGCCCCGCACCTCCTCCTGCCCGTGCTCTCCGCAGAAGCGCTTCCCCGGCGCGGGGACCATCCTGCAGTAGCGCCCCTTCCTCTGCACGAAGTGCCCGCACCGCCCCGGCTGCGGCCCCGGCGCCGCCATCGCCGCTCCCGGCGGCCCCCGCGCCTTCATGTTGCGGCCCCGCCCCGCGGGCTCAGTGCAAGATGGCGGCGGAGCGGATCTTCGACCGGGCTGTGCCCGTGCGGCTGCAGGGCCGGGGCTGCGAGGAGCGGTGAGCCGGGGCGGCGGCGGCGGCCGGGCGGGTGGGCCAAGCCAGGCCAGGTGTCTGCACCGGCTGCGCGGGAGCTGCACCGTGATCTTTAGAGGGGCTGCGAGCGAGAGGCGCTTTTCTCCTCCCCGCCGGCCCTGTGCTCTGAGCGCCGCGCGCAGGAGCGCTCCCCGGTCCCTGCGCTTTGGGACTGCCATGGGGACCCTCCGGGGCACAAGGGAGGGACCGGGTGTACCGAGGCCGGGGACAGCCGGCAGGGCCGAGTGAGTGCTGTGGGTGCCTCGCCAAGGCAGCAGGGCCGGCGGGGTCCGGCAGCGGAGCGACCGCGGGAGGCTCCGCAGAGGGGCGGCTGTGCCCGGGGGCAGGGACGGCCCGGGGCGGCTGCCGGGCCCGCGCTGTGTGTGGCGTCTCCCGGGCGCCGCAGGGTTTGTTTGGTGTCTGCGGGCCCGCGCGGTGAATGTTTGGCGTTGCCCGCGGGCGGTCCCGCCTCTCCCTGCTCCTCCCTTGGCCGCGGCCCCTGGGACAGCGGGA